AAGACCCTCTTTTCCTCAGTTGTTGGTCTTTTTAAGACCTCTTATCAATTTCGCAAAATAAAAAGATGCTAAATTACAGAAACTAATTTTGCGCAAAACTTTTCTTGGAACTTCTAACTCGGACTTTGTCAGCTGGGCTTCTATGGGATCCAGGGGGTTTTCAAGAGGTTGTTGGGGGTTCTTTAGACTGGGCGGTAATTCTGCTTCTCGGATAAGTGACCCGTGACACCAGTCATCTTTTTAGATATCTGCAAGGGCTGACCACCAATGTAATGAGCATTCTTCCTATTGACCAACAATGTAAGGGAGCAGTTCAACCTCTGGCCACCAATATAAAGGTGCCCTTCACCCACTGACCGCCAATGTAAAGGAGCCCTTTACCCACGTACCACCAATGTAAAGGAGCCCTTTACCCACGTACCACCAATGTAAGGGAGCCCTTCACCCACAGACAACCAATGTAAGGGAGCCGTTCACCCACTGACCACCACTGTAAGGGAACCCTTCATCCTCTGACCACCAACGTAAGGAGCATTACCACCAGTGAAAGCAATGCCTTCACCCACTGACCACTAATGTGCGAAAGTGCTTCACCCACTGAGCACCAATGTAAGGGAGCCCTTCACCTACTTACTACCAATGTAAAGGGGTATTTTATCACTGACCAACATTGTAAGTGAGCATATTTGTCAAGTATGCCACATTCCCATTCTTTTTATTCTTGAATCTACAATTTACTATTCATGCCAATGTACTTTGCAATGTTGATATACCGTATATACTCGAGTATAAGCCGTCCCGAATATAAGCCGAGGTACCTAATTTTACCAAAAAAAACTGGGAAAAGGTATTGACCCGAATATAAGCCGAGGGTGGGAAATGAGGCAGCTACTGGTAGATAGATACCAATAAAATTACATTAATATTTATTTAAAAGAAAAATAACCTAGCTCTGTAAGTGGAAAAGGGGGTACAGGGCTACATATCATGTACTACGGATCATTTAACCCATTCATATTAGCAGAGGATAATTGTAAATCTATTGTTCAGTGCATTCTATATGTAGTATATAGTACATGTACATATAGAGTGCCTGCAACAATACATTTACAATGATCCTCTGCTAACATGAATGGGTTAAATGATCCCTAGTACAGGGCTACATACAGATCATTTAATACATTCATGTTAGTATAATTGTAAATGTATTGTCTGCACTGTATTAGCAGTATATACTCCATATAGAGTATATACTGCTAATACAGTGCAGACAATACAT